TGAATCTAGCAGAGGATGGCACATCAGCTGCAGAAAGATATATGGGTCAAACTCAGAACCATATGGCCCAACAAAGGCCGCTTGACACACATCTGTTTTGACACAATATCTTGGCAAAGTGTGGATTAAAACATCCTTATATGGATATCTGGGAGGGCCCTTTTATGGTTAAATGTGGGAAGAGAGGAGCTCTTTGTGTTTTGACAGATAAAGGCATTGAGTGCATTCCATCAAAACGTACACGGCCTGCTCTGGAATAACCGAAAAATGGACAAACGGATAAGTAAATCAGTTTTTTTCTTTTTCCTCTTTTCTTCTCTAATGCATGTTGAGGTGATTTCAGAGCATGAGAATCTCACATATTGGGCCTTTATTCCTAATCCTCCTCTCTCTACTCTGGTTACTTGGTGGCTTGCCAATCCCCCTTTGTCCTCTAATGATTCTGATTGGACAGGAGGAACCGGGGTACTCCGACAACAACATACAGGCCTGCACCAAAAGGAAGAAGAACCTCTGGTGATGTATGCTAACAATTCACCTTTTTGTATGGTTTATTAAAACAAAAGCACAACATGTGTCGCCTTTCAGGAACAAATGTATTTTATTACCAACCTAAGAAAGGACAACAGGCAGCCAATGTGACATACATTACTGCTATATCAACATCTTACGAAGACAAAAGTAATGTCACACAAGTTCCTTCCATCCCGATTTGCCATCCAAAAACTGATTGGTGTTACAAACATTACTCAGTACAGTGGTCCCCTTGCCGTACAGCATATCCAAGGTGGGGCAACATCTTTGGGGCCAACGTACTGAATTAGGGACCTCATGGACATCTTTTGAGTGACAGTCATACTTGGGCCTTCAACAGATCAAGTCAGAAACCTATAACATGGAGCGAACACAGCCTATCTGGACCCCTGTTACAACTATCTCACAATGAGACAGTGTGCAGCCCCCTCACAAAGGAATATGGAGGGTTGGGTTGCCTTTATATCACGACAATTGTCCCATGGCAAGTATGGGAATGAAACTGGCAATTATTTACTAACATTGGTCAAAAATGTTTCTCATACCCTTATGATATGTACCACCCATCCTTATGTGTTATTATGGGGAAACAGTGTCCCTGCTATCCAAGAATCTTCTGGTATGTATGTGATTAATATTTCTCCCCCATATTGGTATTCTGATTGTTTAACACACTATAATGTAACCTCATTGAATGCGACCTATGTAATGGTGTTAAAAAGAAGAGCACATATTTGGTTACCTGTTGGTCTAAATCGGACATGGTCCGAAGAGCATGCTCTACATATCCTCCTTGAGTCCATGAGAAAATTATGCCCTAAGTGGTTTTTGGCTACGCTAATCGCGTTCATTGTGTCCGCGGTGATTATCATTGCATCAGCTGCTACAGCTACTACTGCCTTGGTTAACAGTGTTCAAACAGCCCATAAGGTGGAGTCCGTCTTGGTAAATGTCACTCAAGAATTACAGACACAGGTGGATATTGATAAAGGGCTAATGTCAGGATTGCAGGCATTAGAGGCAGCAGTAGAGTGGCTGCGAGAGCAGCAAAATGCATTATATATGCGTATGAAACTAAAATGTGACTGGCAAGTTACCATGCAATGCGTTACCCCCCTACTGTATAATAGCTCGCTGACATCTTGGCAAGAAATAAAAAAAACATTTACAGGGGGCATTTAATACCTCCCTGGCCAATGACATCACTGGGCTACAAGCTCGGTTAGAGAGGCAGTTACAAGAAGTACATAAGGTGTTCTCTCAAAAAATACTTTAAGACATTGAAAATGGGTTACACTGGCTAGAGCCCTCCAATTGGTTCTCGGGCCTCAATTTACACATATTTGTTAATGCTGGTGTGATTTTGATATTATCCATGTTAATAGTTTATGTTTTACGTCTGCTGTGCTCCCTGAAAAAACAAAGTCAACAAGAGCAAGCATTGGTTATGATGGGCCTTCTGGTCTCAGCACAACATGATGCCTTCCTTGCTTTAAAAAACAAAAGGCGGGGAAATGTAGCCGCCCCTGACACAGGAAGGGTTAATAATCACTGGAAAAAGCTTGCCAACAAACTGTGACCCGGAGGTGAGAAGGCCGGTTAGCCAATGACGGGTAAGACCCCCTGGGGGGCAACCTAAGCCAGGCGGCGGCCGCCCGGGGGCACAGATGGAGAAACGATATCGATATCGGGAGCAAGAGGGACCGTTGCCTAAGAGACCTTGCCTGCTCTGAGATAAAAATATAGGAGCACTGCAACAACATGATAATATCAAAACAGAGGCCAAGGGAGGGCTCCTTGAGAAATCACTAAGAATTCTTGGCATTCGCTAATTACTTCATCCAGAACACCTGTGTATGTTTAACAGATGTAAGCTATGTATATATTGAAACGCTGGTTATAATAAACTCAGAGTGGCCATGAGCCCTCTCCGCATCTATCCTGATGTGTACATTGGATTGCGACACCGACAACCTTATGTGGGCACTTGGAATCTGGATCAGAAGACAAGGAAGGATAATAAGAATGCTTCTCAACTTCAACATTTGGTCTAGTGTGATCACCCCTGAGTGATTCTACAGCATTTGGAGGAAAGCAGCTAATAGGCCAGCCATTTATGACACACCCAAGGCAGACTCTTGTCCATAAATCCAGAGTCAGAGGCTCTGAACTGTGATCCGAGCACACGGTGGGAACAGACACTGCACCCTCGGTGGGAAGGAAAAAGCCATGTTTCCCCAGTCTCTGGAGAAACTCACTTCAAGATCATCATGGGAAATTCGCTGAGACAGCCAAGAGAAAACCATTCATGCTGCAAACTAATTGGGGTCTCCTGGGAAGATCCTGTTCCCTCCCCGTAATGAGACAAACTGGAAACCCTAGAGACAGTGACTGCAAATGGGAAACATTTCTGTTGCTACAGATGTAATCAATTATTATTGTTGAATACCAACTATTGCCCCTAACTCGGAAATAAAGCCCTGGACATTGATTCATCTAGTTCCCTGAAGGCTACTTGACAGACAGCATCACAAATAGGGAGTTGGTCATTTCTCAAAAGGTAAAGAGGAGAAATGGATCCGTCAAGTAAACGGTTGAGAAGGAGTGTTCTGCAGTGGTTGTGAGTCTGGTTTCTGTGGTCAGACTGCTTGTATTCATATTCCTGCTGTACCACATGCTCTGTCAACGACCTCCGACACAAGTCTAAGTATTTCTGGATCTCAGCTTCCTCAATTGCAAAGTAAGGATTAAATCACAACCAACCTCAGAGAGTTGCTTTGAGAATTAAATGAGGTAATCTAAGTGTTTAACATAGTATCTAACATTTAGTAACTGCCGCATAAATCTTACCTATTATCATTACCATCCCTGGAAAGCTTGTGAATTAAGCTGAATAAAGCCAAGGGGAGTCTTTGCCCTGGTGTCTCCCACAAAAACCTATTCTTAAGGTTTTCGTATCTCAGGAAATTCCTCATTAGAGTGTATTCTTCATTTGAAAACATAAACATGCTGGGGTGAGTAACATATACATGATTTTCAGCTTCTGAGACCTTAGGTGAATTTATTTTCCAGATCTTCTACAACACTGATGGTATGTTTTCCCTTAAGTAATGTAGAGACTTGGAAAAGAGCTGGAATGGACCAGGTATCCTTGGAAGACAAAGAAACACATTAGAAGTAGCAACCTTCCTAATGGGTGACTGGAAACCAGGAAAACCAAGAAAATGATTTCTGAAACTCTCTCCTAACTTGACACAGTGGGAAAAAAGCATGGAAGTCAGACCTAGGAAACCTGCACTCTTCCTCAGACTTTGCTCCTAAAAAGCCCAGTGACTGTTCCCCTCTGATTTCCACCTTCAAAGTTAGGAGGTTGGCTCAAATAATCTTTAGAGCTCTCAATTTATGTAGCCCTCTTAAGTCCTTGATCATTTTATTTATAGTAACCTGGCACTCATTTGGCTAAGATTTTTTTTCTTTTTTGTTCCTTTATAATAGTTTAAAGAGAAAGAGACAGAACAACATGTACAGGCCATAACAGCAATTTCTTATAAATTAGTGGGGAGAATTACAGGGAAGTTCTCAACTAATACAATGGGATGAAAGAAGACGGCTCTGAGACAAACTCAGAAGAGAGGATGGAAGCTCTGGTTACTGAGGGGATAGGAAGTGAAAGTCCCAAGGAACAACGTTTGAATTAAGAGATTTGGGTGGGGAACCACATTAGAAAGTGCAAAAGGTGCAGATTATAAATCTAAAAAGATTCGGAGAGAATAAGTCTCATGCTGTATCATGTGTAGTTGAATTATGTCATGATGAACAGACCTAAAGACAAATATTACTGTTTTAGAATTTAAGGGGACCTTATAATTTTGTATTTAATTTCAAGGATAGCAGAAAATGTAAAATACACTCATGGAATATGGTAAGGGGGCGGGGGCAAATCTAGGGATAACGGAAAAGAAAGTGTGGGAGAGTGTGTGAATTCTGTTCACATAGAAAGGGGCAGCAAGTCCTGGAAGAAGAAATAGAAAGAATAAATAAAACACATTTAATATGTGTCCTGTACCAGGCACGACTCTAAGAGCCTAAAAGAATTAATTTGTTTAATATTTACAATAACCCAGGAAGAACATGCTCACTATTTCCATTCTGCAGACCATACGGTTGTTATTTGCACTTCACAGACCAGGAAATGAAGCCTGTTACTGAACTTTCCAAGGTTTCATGGCCATTAATGGTTCACCCAGGTCTCAGTCCCTGATCGCTCTTGTTCCAGAGCCCACACTCCTAACCCCTACCTCTTATAACTAACCCAGATGGGCTCTCTCGGAGGAGATCCAAGGACTGGGTCCCAAGCAGCCTCGGCCAGGCTCCTTCAGAGAAAATGGGGTAAAGAGATGAACGGAAATGGAAACCATATTTGTAGGCCACCCCTCCCCCTACACTCCTCCCTCCACCACCTCACTCTTAACCGCAAAGAGGTTTAAAAAGATTAATTCTTATTGACTGTCAGGTACAGATAAAACAGCCCAGTGTAATTACGAGGGATATCACTGATCTTGTTCATTCAATAAAAATTTATTGATTATCTGCTATGTTCCAGGCAAAGAGCTAGGGCTGGATTTACAGTGCTTTACAGAACAGATATGGGCTGTGTTCTCAAGGAACTTGCTACCAAGAAGGGGATGAATCTATAATTACAAATTGTAATAAAAGAAATAGAGTAGTGTGCTTATAACATTGGAGGTAAAAGAGAACATAGGATTCTCCAGAAAGGCATCTTTGAGGGGGTTATATTTAAGTTGACACTTGAAAAATTAAGATCCAGCCATGCAAGAATGTGAGCAGAGCATTGCAGGAAGAGAGAAAACATTGCAAAATCTCTGGGATAGAGAAAACTCAGTATCTTCAGGGAACTGAGGACGACCAGTACAGCTGGATAAGCGAGAGACGAATTAGGGGCATAACGCAGTGATGAGAGCACGAAAGCCCACCTAAACCAAAGTAAGGTGTTGGAATTTTATTCCAAGGGAAATGGAACTCCATTGAGTGGCTATAAACAGAGAAATGGATCTCACGTATGATTTTGAAAGATCGCTCTGGTTCTGTCTTTAGGCGGAAACTGCAAGAGTGTTTTTGTGCAGTTCAGAAAGGGAAAAGAGCAGAAAGGCATGAGGCGCTTCAAAGGAGAATGTGGATTATCACAGCAAGCGATGAAGCAGAGGCAGGCAGGAGAAAAATGTTAACTTCACAACCTTAACGATAGTCAGCCCTGTTTACCTCACATGGAACCAAGATGACGAGCACACCTTGAGGTATTATCGTCATGAAATGACAATTACAAACCATGCATATTTTTATGATAGTGTTTTTCTGTTTATTAACATAGACAGTGTAAAATAGCTTTATTTCCATGGGATTGTTAATCAAAGAATCCTTTTACTGTTGAATTAACACTACATCAACATAGTATACAAATCTTTAATGAGAGCCTCTGGCTGGTATCCAGTGTGATGCTCAGCAGCGGGAGTCCATAACATTATTGATTGACCATCAGTTAACTGCCACCCCAACAGCATTCTTGATTAACAAATAACGAACAAAATAAAATCTTAGCTTAGCTAAAATTTTCACCTCGTCTCCCTGCTAACTCGTGCTGACAGTCTCTTTCTATGATCTGCTTTCCCTCTTATTTTTACACACAGACCAGACTACAGACAGGAATCAGTGATGAAAAATTATACAGCACTAACAACATTCATCCTGGTGGGACTAACAGATGATCCAAACCTACAGATTCTGCTGTTTATCTTTTTGTTTCTAACCTACTTGTTGAGTGTTGTCAGGAACCTGACCATCATCACGCTCACCTTGGTGGATTCCCACCTTAAAACGCCCATGTATTTTTTCCTCTGGAATTTCTCCATCTTACAAGTGTCATTTACAACTGTCTGCATTCCCAGATTCCTCTACACAATGGCATCTGGGGACAATACTGTTACCTACAATGCTTGTGCGGCTCAATTATTTTTTGTTGTGACCCTGAGTGTTACTGAGTTTTTTCTCCTGACAGCCATGTCCTATGACCGTTACGTGGCCATCTGCAAACCCCTGCATTACACGACCATCATGAACAACAGAGTCTGCATCAGGTTCCTTGTTAGTTGTTACGTGTTGTCTCTGATCATAGTCCTCCCACCCTACATCATGGGCTTTGAGTTTGAGTTTTGTGACTCCAATGTCATAGATCACTTTGGCTGTGATGCTGCTCCCATCCTGAAGATTGCCTGCTCGGACACGGAGTTCATAGAGCGGGTTGTCTTGGTCCTGGCTGTGTTGACCCTCCTGTTCACCGTGGTGTGTGTAGTTATGTCCTACACGTACATCATCAGGACCATTCTCAGATTTCCTTCTGTGCAGCAAAGGAAAAAGGCTTTTTCGACATGTTCTTCCCACCTAATTGTGGTTTCTATCACTTGCAGAAGCTGCATCTTCATCTATATCAAACCGCATGCAAAAGAAGGGCTTGCTGTGAACAAGGTGGTGTCAGTGCTTACCACCTCAGTTGCCCCAGCAATGAACCCCTTCATTTATACTCTGAGGAACAAGCAAGTGGTACAAGCTTTCAAAGACATGAACAAAAGGGTTGCATCTATCTCAAAGAACCAGAGGACCACTGAGTACCACACGGAAAATTATAAAAGAATTCTCTATCTCCATTTTATTTTTCCCTAATGGTATATTAGTCATGGTTTTGTATATCACAATCCTGTTCTGTTATCCCTTGTGTCCAATATTGATACATGTATTAATTAACCTTTTTAGCTCAGTCTATTCCCAGACATACATGAGAATAAATCTGCAGTAAACATTTATAACCATACACCTGTTATTACTTACAGAGCCAAGAAACGTAGACAGCATCAACTTACTCTCACATTGGTGCTCAGCTACCCCTGTTGCACTGATGATATGTCCTGATCTGAGTCCCAAGTTTTGCATCACTGATGATGATCTATGTCTTCAGGAATGACCCTTATCATCCTGTTTGATAAAACTCATTGTTCTATTTCTCACACTTTTCAGGGAGATTTAAATGTAGACTAAAATTTTCCTCTAACTCCATTTGTTTAAAAGATTTACAACTTATTTTTCTAAAGGTCCAAGCTCTTTCTAAATAGAATTTCATATTCTTATCATCTGACGTGTGTCTGTGTTTATCTGGGTGCATTTGTTTCATCTTTTGGAATGTCAGCTTAACAGGATTAAGGGGCTAAGAGGACAGATGAAATATAAGTGGCAGCTTATACTTACATTCTGTTCTGTTATCCAAGTTGTTCACTATAATAATTGCTCTAGGTACAAAAAAAATGATCCAATCTCAATCACAAAGGCTTACAAAATTAACCAATGAATAAAGAATAATTTTTCAGTTTGAAGTTTTTGCCTTTTCAATTTCGCCCGTCTTTCCCACTACCTCTTCTTTCCTCAATGTTCTATTGTTTATCTGACGTTCTAGGAAGACATACGCTGAACGGGGAGTTGGAAACACCTCCGGAAGCTCTCTGGCATTTACTACCACTGACTCAGACACATCTTTGAACTGCCTCATCCCTTCCAGATTTCAGGAGGTGTTAGACTGAGAGTGAGGAGGAGGAGTAAGGGAGCACTAGAAACAGGCAAGAAATTCCAGTGACACTTGGCCAACTGTTCCAAGCTGATTTACAATACTACGAACTGGACTGTAATGGACCAGCAGTCCCAATATTCCTGGGGCTAGAACCAAAGAACGAGTCTTAACTGATACTGAAATTACATCAGGGGAATGAAGACTCATTCCCCCAGTCCATTCACAGTCTGTCCACTGCAAATCACTGGATACAGAATATGCCTCTAAAAATAAAATAGGAAAGAAAGTTTTGTGGGCATTCTGAACTGTGCACTAAGCGAAGCTTGGTTAATAAGTCAGATTATCAAGTCAGATTATCAAGCTGAAAGAGCAATTAAGGGACATATTCAGTTTGCTGAGGGTAGATAAGAGTAAAGGTGAAGCTGTAGATAATGATTTTTCTTCTCTTTTTCCTTTTCTTTTTCACCTAACGTTGAGAATGAATAATCCCCTGATCACACGACATATTTGTTCCTTTGATTATTTTATTAATTTATCTCTCTTTCACTAGGCACTAAGCTCCATAAAGCCAAGGACTGTGTCTACTTTTACTTACCAACTGTATTTCCAATAGAGTCAAACTCCACTCCACGCATCTCTTCCACTGGGCTGAAGACAGCCTCAAATATTCTTACCCTGCCCCCACCCTGATAATACAAAGGTCTCACGGTCTCACCAAGGCGGTAGAGAAGCTCCTCCAGGCATTAGCCCATGGAAACACACATTGGCCCCACGTGCCTGGCCTTGCATGTCTACTAGCTCTGCTGCTTCCATGCCGTTCTTATAAACGGAAGCTTTGGGAAAGATGGCCTGGAATCTTAGGCTTATGATCTGGTACCATGTAGTGGAGCCCACTGAGCTGTCATCACCATGGAGGAAGGCGCAGGCCGCCTCCTTTGTGGAGCAACCACAGAATCTCTTCAATTTTTGAACTGTATTCTCATTAGTTTCAGGCTTTGAGAAATGAAAAAAAGCTCTTAATTCACTATCTTAAAAGTTATCTTGCCACACAAGATTCATCTTTCCATGTCTTGTCCAGGACTCTCCTCCACCTGGTACAGACACATCAGTCTTAGTGGCAGTGGCTTTCCTTCTGTGTTGCTAATGCTCCTTTAACTCTGTGGTGTTAGTGATTCTCTCGCTAAAATATAATTAGATGAGACCTTACACACGTCCATAGTAAGATGGGATAAAGAACATATAATTGAAGATTGCTATGAAGGTAAGAAAGTATGTATTTAAAGTTCACAACACTTATTAGGTACATCTCCTGGTGAGTCCGTATGTGGAATGAAATAGGTTAAAGGAAAAAAAAGAGAGACAAAATTTGTGCACTCCTTCCTTCCATATTCCTGCCTTGTGATCAGATGACCCCTTCTGATTAGTGACAGTGAAGTGTATCGCCTGGTGCCACACACAGTCATCCCTGCCCTCTGTATCAGACAAGCTCCTGTTCAATCCCAGGTGCACCACTTGCATCTCATGAAGGATTGCTGTCCGGCCTGCTCAACGTTATGACGTGGTTGGTCTGTCAGAGCACAGCTCTTTGTAGGTAATGCCAGAAACGTGATCACCTGTTACCCCATGACCTATATTCTGTATTCACCAAGGCCCATTAGCACACCAGCAGCTGGTTTTCAAAAGCTCCATAATTCTCTGGTGAAGATGTCATGGCCTTGTTCTCAGAGCCCCACAAGCCCATATTATGATCCTCCCACTGGGACAAAACATAAGCTCCACGTGCTTAAGGCTTGATCTTTAATATTCCCTGCTCTCTCACTATGGGAGGTGGGAGCCTCTATGTAAGCTACCAGGTGGGCCTTCTGGCTTTTCAGTGGCCTATTAATCATGCTCGGCTTTTTATTATCTTTTTCTGGACTGTCAACAGCATTTAGTAGCAGCCAACTGTATTAGTTTTCTATTCTGCATAACAAATTACCACAAGTTTTGTTGCTGAAAACAGCACACATTTATTATCTCACAGCTTCCGTGGGTCAGAATCCAGACATGGTTTAGCTGGGTCCTCTGCTCAGTCTCACAAGGCTGCAATCGAAGTGTCAGCCAGGTTGGATTTTTTCCAGAGATTGGAGTCCTCCTCCAAGCACACACTGTTGTTGGCAGAGTTCAGTTCCTTGTTGCCATCGACTGAGACCCTCAGCTCCTGGAGGCTACCTGCCATTCCCTGCCATGTGGCCCTCTCCATAAGCAAGTCACGTCACAACAGCTTGCTTCTGAAAGGCCAGCAGGAGAGTATTTTGCCCCAACCTGCTCAGATGGAGTCTCATATGATGTAGCATAATCATGGGAGTGACATCCTATTACTTCTGCCATAGTCCATGGGTTAGAGTCAAGTAAAAGGTTCCACCTGCCCTCAAAGGCGGGGACTTACACAAAGGCATAGACACCAGGGAGTGGGCATTATTGGGTGTCATCCTAGCGCCTGCCTCCTACATCATCTGTATTAGGGTTCTCCAGAGAAACAGAACCCATAGGATGTAAATAGATAAAGAGAGACTTATTTTAAGGAATGGGCTCATACCATTGTAGAGCCTTGGTATGTCCAAAATATGAAGGGTACGCCAGCAAGCTGGAGACCCAGGGAAGAGTTTCAGTTCAAGTCTGAAAGCAGTCTGCTAGCAGAATTCCTTCCTGCTCAGGGGGGGCCAGTCTTTGTTCTATTAAGACTTTCAACTGATTAGGTGAGGCCCACCCACACTATGGAGGATAACTTGCTTTACTCAAAGTCTACCAATTTAAACGTTAATCTCATCCAAAAAAAAAAAAAAACCACATTCACATAAACATTCAAAACATTGTTTGACCAAATATCTGGGCACCATGGCACAACCAAGTTGGCATATAAAATTAACTATCACACCATTCCATCCTGTTGTCCTTATAGGTGTTATTTTCACCATATTTCTCAAACACCTGATACATTTCACCAGATAGTTTATCACTGTCCACTATGTACACCACACCAGCTCACCAGTATTGAGAGTTTTAACAACTAGACTATCCAGTAGACTATATATTCCAAAGATGACCACATCAATATATACTCTATCCCACAGAAGTCAGAGTTCCATGCTTATGGAATAAACATATATTTTGGATGTCCAAATCTAGAATTTGTCTCCCCTGTCTGAAATGCTTCTGCTGGCTCCACCATTCATGAGCCCACAGAATGTCTTACACACCACCGTGCCATTCTGCAATGCATGGCATCTGATCAAAGCGCTCATTTCACAGCAAAGGACGTGCAGCAATGAACCCAAACCCATGGAATTAACCAGTCAGTCTCACCACACACCTCAGCACGCGTAAGTGGTTGGTCTAATGGAAAGGTGGAATGGCTTTCTGAAGATAAAATCACAAAACCAGTTGGGAGGCTACACCCAAAAGGCTGGTATTCTGTCTGAGAGGATGCAGCATATCCTTTGAATCAGAAAGCATTATTTGGTGTTGTCTACCCCATAGCCAGAATACGTGGGCCTGGGAATTAAGAAAAAGAAGTGGGGCTGATGACGTCAGCGTCATAAGACATCGCTTGTTTTTTTCCCTACTTTAACATCTAAACTTAGGGATCTATCCACGAACAAAGTCCCTCAGTGGGATTCGCCATCATAGGCCAAGTGACCTGGGAGAAGTCTGGCCCATGTGTGTATCAGGTGATAGGCAGACAGACCCGGGTAAGGCCCGTGGAACCAGCAGGAACCTGTGAACCCGCTCCGTACCTCGCAGCCTAGGTGCCGCCTGGGAGCACCTGGAAACGCTGACTTGGCAGATACCCAAGGACTAAAGAGCCTTGGTACAACTCCGAGTTTTTAGAGGAGAAGTTCCAGCGCTCCGCTGAAGCGAAAAACAAACCAAAAACAAGTTAGGACGCATCTGAGTAAGAGGAACTTTGCCAGGATCACCCCTCCTCCAAGGGCAGCACAGCTTGGAGAACAAGGAAGCCAGGGTTCCTTCCCATGGGAAAAAGGGAGCATGGAGAGTGAGCGCCCAGCTTCCCCGGCTGTGCACGATGCTGCTAAAGAAATCCTCTCTCCCACAGCGCCCCGAGGATTTCAGCGAGAGCCCCAGGACTCAGAGGAGGGAGATCAGGAAAGAGGCGGATGAGAATATCAGCGGGCACTAAAGGGACGCGCGCAGTTCCCGCTGACTGCGTTCTGGACTCCAGCAGGAAGCCCACCTATGAGCCGCTGGGAAAACCTCACCAGAGGATCCTCCAACTGGCTCGCGGGTACTCCCAATGCCCTCCCCCCACTCTGTGGTCACTTTCGTGTGCCCACTCCTGAGGGCGACGACAGCAAGCTCAGGTAGACAGGGAGCACATACAGAAAACAGGCCAAAGTCGGCAGTCGGCAGGCAAGGGAGACACCACAATCTTGAGCTGTAGCGCCACCTTGCGAAAACAAAAGAGCTTTTCAGCAACCAGCCTGGTGCATTTTACGATTAGAGAAGACAAGTAAGCTCAAGAAATCTGGCACAAGAGGGAGAAAGACACTGGAGCAGCTGTATCCACAGAAGGCCAGAGAAGCATCAGAATACAGAGCAGGATAAAAAAGTCTTTCTCACCTGAAGGCAGCTAGTAAAGAATGGAGAAGGTGACTGCTACTTCGCGTGTGACAACAGCAATGCAAAATCAAAGGAACACAGAGAATCAAGGAAACATGACATCACCAAAAGATCACAATAACCCTCCAGTAACCCAGCCCAATAATGTGGAGATCTACAATTCAGCCGATAAAGAACTCAAAATGGCTGTTTTGAGGACACTCAATGAGCTACAAGAAGATAACTCAATAGCAAAAAAATAATCCTTTTTGAAAATGGGCAAAGGAGCTGAATAGAGGTTTCTTCAAAGAAGG